CTTTTCTATGACATGAAGGTATGGGAAGGATGTTAATTTGGATCATGGAGAGCAAAAGTGGGTGATTTTATCAAATAAAATATTAATATAGAGAAAATTGTGAACTTGTAGTTATCAGTAAGTTTCTGAAATCAGACCTTATCCACTTTCTAAATGCAAAGATTTCTTTTACATCATGTTGTCTCTTAATTTTTTAATTTAAATTCTCTTTTGATAATGAGCTTAGAGCTGATCCTTGCACAGTTAACTCCCTTCTGGGAAAACATCAGCTGCTAAGTGCCAACACTGGGTCAGTTTCTGTTCCTGACACAAATGCTGTAAATATCTGAGGGAGCTTTAGGGGGAGAGATTGATGGCTTCAAACATCTTAGAAGCTTTGGTGCTCTCAGGATTCAAATATTCCTGAAGTCACAAATTTTTTAAAAAAACACACTGCAGAAAAGTTGGATCCCATCATAAGTTACATTGTTAGGAAATGTTTCTGTGCCATTGCTGTTCTCTGCTAGATTTTTTTTGGATCTAGGATTATGACTTCTGCCTTGGAAGGATTTATTTTTTCTTAAGGTAGATATCCATACATATATCACTCTTTGAGTATCACATTTTGGATGACTTGATATTATTAGAGAAAAAAAATCTTATATGTCTATTTTGAAGGACTGTGTGTTTTATATTTATAATATAAACTGTTTCTCACTACTTTCCCATATATTCAACAGTTTAAAAAATCTGTATAAATCCCTGCTTACCATACTATTTTTCCCTTGCAGCCTCATCCATTGTGTAGTCTGAGAGAATTAAGAAATGAATTGTCCTGCAAAGGGGCAGCTTGTTTTCTGTGCTCACTCTTAATGTGAATAGTGAGATTCTTGAAAAAAAAAGCCACAAATCCAAGTGTTTCTGTATAGCTTGCTAATATTAAATGCCGCTCAGGTAACTCAGTGTTTTGAAATAAGTGGATCAAATTCTCTGCAGAGTCTAATCCAGGCACGTGCTGCCACTGTTTAAAATGTACATGTTTGGAGAACAGCTTGTGGTGAATTTTTAAAAGAGGTGTGAATAGATTAGTAAAAATTTTTAAGGGCGAGTGGAATTATTTACTACCAGTCAAGTGATCTGGGACTTCCTTTAAAAGGTTACATTAATACATACTCTGCTTAGATAAAAATAAAGCACTGAAGATGCAATTTAAGAAAAAAGATGATGTGTTGACAAAGCCCTAATTAAATGCCAAACATGGAAAGTTTCTTCCCAAGAAGAGACCTGTGATGCTGGGAGAGACCAAAGAGCCCCGCAGCCCCGCGCTGTCCCTGGCCATGACCCGTGGCAGAGAGGACAGCACGTACAGCAGACAGGGACCTTCCCCAGGCATCTCCTCAGCTTTCACAACCAGGACTTTCCGATTTAATCAGCAGTGGCTCCACCCCTGTGAATTTGTCTAATGCCTTTTTTGAATCCTTCCATTCTTCTGGCCCTCCAGAAGGTTGCCCCACCTTCTCTTCTCCAAGCTGCCGATAGCGAGTTCATGGACTGACTGCTCCTTTGAGCAGAGGCTGTCTTCTGCTTCTCACTGCCATGTTGTCTTTGTCTGAATCTTTGCTAGTTTAGTGCTATGATTTTTGAGATGAGGGTACTGAAACTATCAGCAATATTCAGACTTTAGGTGCACAGTAGTAACTAGCAATAGTTTGTTTCATTTGCTATTCTTTTTCTAACTCTTAAAATTCTATTTACTGTTTTACTCAGTTTATGTTTTTAGAGAAGTAGGCACACTTATTTCAAGATCTCTTGAGTGGTAATAATTAATTTAGGGCTCATCTCTGCTTAAGCTCAGACAGGGTTATTTTTTTCCCATGTGCGTCATCTTGCGTTTCTTTTCGTGAGATCTTGTCTGCCACTTCAGTCAACCCACTCAGTACTGACAGTTTCACAGCTCTTCCATGCCTGTTTTAGATGTGACCGTTCTGAATGATAAAAATTCTCCATTTTGGAATTTCACAGTTCATTTCTACCTTTGTTCCTTAGCTTTTACGTAATTAATCTCCTATGAGAGTAGCTCCTTCTTATCGCTTCATAGTAAGTATTTCAGACCAAAGGCTCTTAAAAGTTTTCTAACATATTCTAACATGTGCATATTTTCATGAACAACCTGCACGTCAGAGAACCTGCATCCCTTAGAAGCACCCATGCTTGTAAATAAATCCTTAAATAAATCCTCCCGTCCCAGGGCAGCAGCAGGGACCATGGTGGCCAGGATATTGTGGCTTAGGAGGAGACTCAGGCATAGCTCCACTGGGAAGACCAAGCAGAGATGAGAAACACCTTGGGATATTACTGGGAGAGAAGGAGCCAGGAGACAAACTTCTCCTCATATTATCTGGAAATGCACAGAAACCAGCTTCTGCTGAATGGCTGTGAGTTCATTAGCAATTCACTCGATTTGCCCATAAAACCCTGTTATAGCATACTGGTGGTCTCCTTTGCAGAATCTGATAGAGATTCAAGTTCCTTCTGCAAAAGCTTTCTACACCCCACTCTGCAGCAGGATCATATGACAACACATTGCACCAATACAACCTCAGAAGAGGAGCATTAAATCCTCAAAAACCAAAGTGCAGTAGAAAAGGTACCCTGACAGACACAAGCTTTGTTCCGATGGTCACCCACTTTGGACCGTTTCATGGCACAGCAGCATGAAGGGAGTGCAGCGATACCAAAACATTTAGAGTAGATACCTTTATCAGGAAGGTAAATGCCATTAGGCTTAAGAGAAAGAAAAAATGAAATACAAAGTTCCTCCTCTTACTCCCTCCCTTCCCTTTTCTCAGGATCTGGAGCAGAATCAGACACCTGCTCTGTTCACTTGTCAGGTGCAAGAAATCCAACAAAAATTGTTCTGGCAAATTAATAGGATTTCCCCCCACATCCCCCCACAACCCCACACCCCCACTACTGAAATGATGTCTCAATTATTTAGACTAGCAAAAACATCTTCTTTAGGGTTAGAAATGGCAAGGATGGGAATTTTAACTATGGCATCTTGGCCATAATACTTTCCCTTCTTTCTTCCTACTAAATTTCTTGCTCTTTCATATAAGACAGTCTCATTTTCAGATATCTACTGATGTGTGGTACAGACATGGTAACTTCAGACAGATCATTTATTACGTATACCAGAGACAGGCACGTTTTAGTCTTAGCTTAAATGATTCTTGGTGACGCTTTAAGAATTGATTTGATGCAAAAGGCTTTGTGTGAATGTAAACTGTTTCAGTGTCAGGTTACTCTTTTAGTGGTTTACTTACTGATATGCATGCATGGCAGTTATACATCTGCATCAAGGACAAAATAAATGCAATTTTTGTACAAAGTGTAGCTGTTCGTATTTAGTATATAAAGGTTTAGACATTGTAACATAAATTAGGTGCTTATTTCCTAAGCAGCAAGACATTTCTGAAGTACACTAGTTGTGTCCATATTACTAAAGCCATCACTTAATTTATATTCTTGCTTGAACTGTAGTGGTGAAGAAGCATGCAGTCTGATTATGGCTTGTACTTCAAAGTACCCACTTATATTTATAGTTCTCAGAAAATTAATTTTTAACACTGTAACAACACTTGCATCCATACTAGAAACAAAAGTCACTTTGAGGTATGTGTATTGTGACTTTGCATGAAATGTGCAATCTGTGTTTGTCACCATCACCTTCAGGGAATGTTTATCAGAGGGCTGAGAAATTTGTTCTGCAGTGATGGAGTATTCTAAACACATCTCCTGTTAGAGCTTTGCTTTATATGAGCATTAATAGCCTAGATGTTTCCCCAAGAAAGTTTGATTAATCTTTTCTTTCAGCTTTTCCAAGTTCTCTTTAGATATTAGAATTTTGAGGATATAATATTTAAAAAAACAAAAACAAAAAAACCACAACTGGGTTTAAACACCAGTTGCAGGTGGATAGTGAGGGTGAGCAGCTTTGTGCTAAGTTTGCCAAGACTGAAGTGTGGGATTGGTGAGGAATACTCAGACACCATTAACATATTATTAGAATATATAGTCAAATTTAATTGTGATGAGCGTATTTATGAGTAGTAGAGAGAAAGAAAAATAGCATGCTCTTTGGGGAACCTAGATAGAGACAAAAGAAGAGTCAGCTATAGCGTATGCATTTAGTTAAAAACCAGAGAATAGGGAAGAAACACTGGGAGGAAGATCAAGAGTAATATTTAGAAAATTCGGTGGAAAATGAGGGAAAAGACAGAACGAGAGAATGGATGGAGTGCACAGAAAGGTGGAGAACCACAGAGAAGAGCAAAAGGAGAAGCAGAGTTGATCTGTAATGTTTTGAAAATGGGGGCGGGTGTCTATTTGATGTAGTAAATGTGTCTATACACTCATAATTAACTGTAAATTCATGCTGGCATGTATCTAATTAGAAAGCTGCACATCTCAATAAATCTTTAGTATGATTTCTATTTATCAATTAACATATTTGAATGGAGGAGGAGAACAATTTAGTGAACCCTGAGCATTTTCAGTAATAACATCTATTTGTATATAAAATAAATCGTGTTTGTAGTGCCCCTATTGCAACATACAAATAAAGAAATTCTGTAAACTAGGAGGTAGGAGGCAATTTATGACTACTACTTATTGTGCAAATTTATCCCCTTCACTGTTTTAATGCCTTATTGTTCTCTTGATCTGTTTATTACCTTGTTACGTGCCAGGTTTGCAAAACAGCTGAACTGTAAATTGATTTTGGACTTCATATGTATATGCCATGTATATGCGCACATCTGGATTCTAAATCTTTAGTGACACCTGTACTGTGTTAATGCAAATGACGTTGTATAAGAATTTATATTCTTACATGTTTGTACACAAGCTGGTTTTTAATTCATATAGAACTTTCTTCCAAATGAACTAATCTTCTTTTGCTTGTGAACATCACCACTTGTTTCAGCCTATGTTAACTGTGACTATTGTTCCTTGTCTAGCTGTACCCCATAAAATAGGGCGGATAATTGATGGAAGTCCTGCGGATCGCTGTGCAAAACTTAAAGTTGGAGACCGGATCTTAGCTGTGAATGGCCAGTCTATTATTAACATGCCTCATGCAGATATTGTGAAGCTAATTAAAGACGCAGGGCTCAGTGTAACTCTTCGCATCATTCCTCAGGAGGGTAAGTCAATGGCCCTTAAAAACAAGAAGAAAATTTTAAGTGGCCTGCAATTAGCTTGAATTATGTCACTGCTTGAAAGAACATCTTTTGTTTCGCCTTCTCAGCTATAATGTACAGCACACCAAAATTACAGCCTTAGAACCAGCTCGAATAATATCTTAATTCCTGAAGAGGTTTCTAGTTATGAAAGGGGTATTTAAAGAAAATCTGGAGAAACCTGAGAGAGAGCTGAGTACCAGAGAGTCAGTGTTAATGACGTTTGGAAGAATTTGGAAAAGCACCCTACAAGAGAGTTTTGAGTTTGTTCCCTTATATCCTGCTGTAAACCAAACCAAAGTTTGGCAAAGTGACTCACAAGACACTGCAATGGTTGTCACCAGGCATGTTCAGCCACCTCTGACAAAAAGTGATGTGTATGAAGAGCTCAGATTTGATAGTTTCCTCCACATGTATCACTATAAATGTACAAGCCAAGAAAGAACTGAACCCTAAATTGTCTCACCTGTAGGGTGAGGATAAGGGGACAGACTCATTATTCTGGTCATTACTCCACAACTAATCAGTGAAGATCTTTTTTGATGTTGGTTTCATGGGGTTTGGGGTTGATTTCAGGGCTTTTTTTAGTTTAGGCATGTGCCATACTGGTGTATGAATTGTACTGTATTAATGAGACTGTGGCTTTATATCTCAGCAACAAATACCATTAGAGCTAGGAATGTCACACAGCAAGTAACGTAATTGCTTAATTATCCATGCTCCAGTTAGATGACCTTCACCTTCTGCTGCTGCATCCAGCAATGGGACAAGGAAATGGTCTGACACTGGCCATGGACTGCAGCTGGGGGAACTTAGCTACTTTGTTAAATGAATGCAGTGAAGGAAAAACCACAGACATACACAAGTTCAGAATTCAGACCAAAGAGCTGCTGTATAATCACTGGAGGTCAGTTTTTCAAACATCTACAAACAAGTGTGATGCTGCGTGTAGTCTGTGCAGCTTATTTAGGCCTCCCTGGTAACCAGATTAATTCATATTAGCAAATGGCTAATAGTTCAGTGTTAGGGATGGATACCTTAAATTAGAAAGCAAGCAGAGGTGCATCTGAGATGCAATGCTACGAGATGTTCTCAGGTGCTAGTGGTGAGAAATGATTTGTGCCCAAGGCATGGCTTCCCTGTGTGACTGTGTGACACTGGACACTTCATTTGGCTTCTGATGAATTAGCTTCCCAGCTTACAAAATTAGGAAAAAAATCTAATACCTCTGTAATGTACTTTCAGGTGAAAAATACCATATAAATGCAAAGCAGTTTTAGAAGCAGCTTATGATTTGACTAGTTCATCCATAGTTATAAGAGTAATGTAGAAATGAGGGGCAACATTCCCAATCTTCCTGTCTGAAACTTTGCAATACAAAAGAGAGTCACAGATGCAAAATGGGTGATTAAAGCCTTAAGCACAGTAATTACACAGACAAGTATTGCTTATGCCTGCATGAGGAGTGTTTTAAGTGCAAATATACAAGCTTTTTTAACAATTAAGTCTAAATTGAAAAGATTTTTAATAAAGTAGCCAAAATTTTTAAAATAATTATGAGCATAAATTAAGTAGAGAGCCATTAGAAATGTGCAGTCATAGGGGACAAACTTAAGTGTTAAAAAAATAAAAAATAAAAATCATTCAAAATACAAACTAGATTCAAATATAAAACTAGGCAAGATCTGGATCGTGTATAGTTATTGCTGTTAGGGATGCTGAGCCATACGCATGTCCATTCTGGATACTTTGCACCATGCCACACTGGCCTCACTGATTCTGTTGCAAGCAGGAATAAAAAAAAATATAACATGTACCTTTGCTGTTGATAGTGCATGAGCAATTACTTCTGCAGTGCTCTCTCCTCTTGTGGGTGGAGTATCTCTCATTTACACTTCTTAATAGGTAAGTGATGAGCAGCATAACTGTGCCAGTGTGTCGGGAGAAATATATTCAATGTGAGCTCAGTGCCAAATGTGTCTTCCTCCAAGTGCAGTGGGAAGCCTGAAGGAGGATTGGCATCCTATATTTGTAACAAGGTCACAAGGCCAAATTTCCTACCCCAGCCTCTTTGTCTTTTTGAATTTTATGTTGTTTGGAAAGAAGGATTCTGGTTTTCTGCAGTGTTACTATGTGAAACCCTGGTCATTTGGCACAATGCAGTGAAATAAAACATGGGTTTAGCTGGTTAATCAGAATTTATTGAGATTGGGTTTACTGTGCACAGTTCCCAAAGATTTAAAAAAGATAGGAAATGCTTGTTGATCTCAAAGACAGCAGGAGCTAACACAAGCACACCAGTGCTTTAGCTTTTGTGACAACAGTCTGTCATCCCGTAACAGTGGTGAAAGCAATAAAATTGTTCATTCTCTCAAAATGAAAAGTATTTTGAATATCTAGAAGCTTTGCTAAGGCACATGGAGGAGAGGGAGGTGATTCAAGACAGCCAGCATGGCTTCACCAAGGGCAAGTCCTGCCCGACCAACCTAGTGGCCTTCTCTGATGGAGTGACTACACCAGTGGACAAGGGAAGAACTACAGATGTCATCTGTCTGGAGTTCTGTAAGGCCTTTGACAGGGTCCCCCACAACATCCTTCTCTCTAAACTGGAGAGATATGGATTTGATGGATGGACTGTTCAGTGGATGAGAAAATGGTTGGATGGTCTTATCCAAAGGGTAGTGGTCAATGGCTCAATGTCCAGATGGAGATCAGTGTCCTCAGGGGTCTGTACTGGGACCAGTACTGTTTAATATCTTCATCAATGACATAGACAGTGGGATCGAGTGCATCCACAGCAAGTTTGCCAACAACACTAAGCTGAGTAGTGTGGTTGACACACCTGAGGGATAGGATGCCATCCAGAGGGACCTGGACAAGGTCATGAAGTGGGCCCATGTGACGCTCATGAGGTTTGACAAGGCCAAGTGCAAGGTCCTGCACCTGGGTCAGAGGAACCCCGGGTATCAATACAGGCTGGGGGATGAGGAGATTGAGAGTAACCCTGCCAAGAAGGGCTTGGGGGTACTGGTGAATGAAAAGCAATGTGCACTCGCAGCCCAGAAGACCAACTATATCATGGGCTGCATTAGAAGAAGCATGGCCAGCAGGTCAAGGGAGGTGATTCTCCCCCTCTACTCCACTCTGGTGAGACCCCACCTGGAGTACTGCCTCCAGCTCTGTGGCCCCCAACACAAGAAAGACGTGGACCTGTTGGAGCAGGTCCAGAGGAGGGCCACAAAAATGATCAGAGGGCCGGAGCACCTCTCCTGTGAAGACAGGCTGAGAGAGTTGGGGTTGTTCAGCCTGGAGAAGAGAAGGCTCTGGGGAGACCTTGTTGAGGCCTTGCAGTACTTAAAGGGGGCTTACAAGAAAGATGGGGACAAATCTTTTAGCAGGGCCTATTGCAGCAGGACAAGGGGTAATGGTTTTAAACTGAAAGAGGGTACATTTAGACTAGATACAAGAGGGTAAATTTAGACTCAATACAAGGAAGAAATATGTTACAGTGAGGGTGGTGAAACACTGGAACAGGTTGCCCAGAGAGGTGGTAGATGCCCCATCCCTGGAAACATTCACAGTCTGGCTGGACAGGGCTCTGAGCAACCTGATCTAGTTGAAGATGTCCCTGTTCATTGCAGGGCAGTTGGACTAGATGACCTTTAAAGGTCCTTTCCAACCCAAACTATTCTACGATTCTGTGATTTCATGATCAGTATTTCTAGGCTTTAAAAGAAAACATGAAACACGGAAGCAATTCGCCTTATTCAGTTGGGTTTTAAGTAATGGAGGTGCCAACTGGAGTTATAGAAGTGACTAAGATCTCAGATTCCCACGGACTATCAAAAGGATACCATTAGGTTCAGATGTCTTAAAATCTAATTATAACACCAGAGAGTAAAAATGACAAAGCATAAATTTTCGGAGGTAGTGTGTGACCAAAAATTATTATTGTCTACCTTTGCCCTTTATTAAATGCCGCACTGCGACAGGCCTTTAATCTCCAGCTTCCCATTACGCAGAGCTGAACAGCCCAGCCTCGGCCCCCAGCTCAGAGAAGCAGAGCCCCATGGCCCAGCAGCACAGCCCCATGGCCCAGCAGAGTCCCCTGGCGCAGCAGAGCCCCGTCGCCCAGCACAGCCCCGTTGCCCAGCCACCGCCTCCCCAGCCCCTCCAGCTGCAGGGGCACGAAAACAGGTAAGAGCGGTTCTTCCAGCCTCTGCCTCCTGTGAGGACCACGGGACACCCTTGTGCTGGGTCTTCATGCTGTTTCTAAGTGGCTGTGAGCCATCGCTCGGGGTCCTCTGACAAGCCACGGTCCCGTGACTGCATTCGCAGAGCATGAGTTGTGCATGCCAGAATGGTCTGTAAGTCTTGTTCAGGTATGAAACATGTTATTACGAACAAAGGTCTAGCCAACCTTCCTCAAACGTCCATCAGGATCGTATGCTTGCCAAGGAACTAATCACTGCAGTATTCCTTGCTAATGATTTCATTGCTAACATACTATCTGATATCACTACAACTTACAAAATACGGGTATATCAGTATCTGATCATGAGGTGGCCTTTTTGTTTTCATTATCTGACATGTGGTTTGTGTGGGGTTTTTGTCCATTAGACTTCTGCAGTCAGGGATATATTTTTATAACAGGTTTTATCTAAAGGGTGTCGTTTTCCAGCGATTTCTCATGTGTAATTTATGCATATGCATTGACAAATTTATCTGTGATGGAAATTAAATGATAGGGGGATAGAAATTTTGTGACCAGCTGTATTAAAAGCTGTATATAAAAAAAGCACACTCAGGCTGTGGGATGATACAACTTTCTGTGATCTCCAATCAACACTATTTAGTCTTTGGATTAATTTTTGGCATGTTAAATGAGGCTGATTACACTGACTGTCTTTATGCTAATCTTCAGTAACCAACATACCTCATCAAGACCCTCTTCCCCAAACAGTAGATGCTGGTTACAGGATTGTAACTTCTTGTTTCTGGAGATACTTGAGTTCAGTTGTGATTTAGACACTATGCCCTCTAAATCTCCTTCCTTAACAGATGTAGCACTTTCATTTGCCCAAAATTATTTTCTCTCAATTAGTCACACTTGGTAAATTTCTTTGTCTTATATTTCATTCAGTACTTTTTCCAAAAGTGATCACCTCCTAGAAGACATATGTTTCTGACAAAATCCAATGCAAAGTTCTCACAAAAGTCTCTCTGTGCAGTTATAAGTCAGTATTAAATGTCTGCTGAATTCAGAATTTTCAAAGGGGATCACTAAACTATATTAATTAAAGTTCCAAAAAGAAATTCTGTAATAGTTTTACTGAAAAGCGTAAGCTATAATTGTTCATGTCACCATTTACATATTTAGCAAAAATTACAGTGCCTCCAGCTGTAAATAAAAGCATCATCTTCTGGGATACAACTGTGGTCATATGTTGGGAACCTGCCTAAGGATTCTTATTCCAGAAAAAGGTCCATTATTTCTAGTTCATACAGTATCATTTTTCACTAGATTTTATAAGTCAGATTGCAGCTTGTTTATATAGCCATGGTCATTGTTTCTGTATCAAAATCAAAATACTGTAAGATATTTAAAACTCTTAGGAATACTAACTACTATTTTTATTTTCAGTATTAATAAGGCTCAGTATCACAGTAAGCGTGTTTGTTGTCTGTCTTCTTTTTACAGGATCGTGATACTGAGTAAAGAAAGTAACAGGATTGCATGTATATATGCAGGTCTTGCTACAGATGCCACGTACAGGTTTTAAAAGAACATGTGGCAGCAGGCTATTTTCATCTTCTCGTAAAAGTCAAAGGGAAATAGTTCTGATATTTTTGTGTCTGGCTAGACATTCAGCTGATTAAAGCTAGTGTGTAGGAAGATTTGCCATAATGATACTATAGCTGTGCTAATAAAGTAATGAAGTTTTGAAACATATCTGAAACATTTTAAAATGTTTAGATTTTTTGCATTATCTTTTCATACGTAAATTAACATGATCAAAAACAATGCTCTCATTTTTTCAGAATGTAACTTTTTTAAATCAGTAAGTCCATTTCAAAATCCCTTTCACAGTCTATGTGTGTCCATGTATCTGCATGTGTACATACATGGCCGCTTGGTCAACTGAAAACTTCCAGACCATTACTAAAGCAGAGTCTGAAATGTGTATTTCCTGTATAGGAAAAAAAATAAAGTATGAAATGCCATTATGCACTGATTTCCACGTGGTAAGGGAGCCACTCTTTCCCATTTGAGTAAATTAATTAACTAGTTGAATACTACAGAAAGTCACATTTTCTTTGAAATGTTAGGACTCGTCTTCCTGTAACCAGTTACCAATTAAAGCGATATTTTACTTATTATTACTTCCTCATTAACCAAATTTGTTTTCCTTTCACCCTGTGTTATTTCTGTGCATAACTACTGATTTGACCTGCTACGGGCTTGTAGCCTGATAGTATTACAGGGAGTGTGTAATAATAAAAAACCACACTATATTAACAGATGTTATATAAAGAATACCTTTCATTAAAAAGATAACAGCTAATACAAAGACTGTATCCTTTTTTAACCTTAAGAAGCTCACAATAATCATAGTTTATGTCAATGAAACAGAGGGGTTATAAATGTCTGCACTGATGTTTCATTTACTCTATAGAAATCTTAATTCTGGAAAAAAGCACTTTTTTTCTGCATTATTTTGTAGTGAGTATTGTGGGTGTTTTCACATGCAGTTTCGTCTTCCAAGTAGGCAAGATAAGTGGGAATCGAGATGCTTTTCCTGTTCCTGTCCCTTTGAGCCTAATCCTGATCTCAGTGATACGAGCTGGAAAATTGCACAGTATGACCTGAGGGAAAATTGCTTATGTCCATGTTTCAAAAGCGCTCACTGTTTTTGGATGCCTCGACTATTTACACTTGAAAGTTTTGCTTCTCTGTGAAAATTTGTTTTATGCGATTTTGCAGTCAGGCAATTTGCTTTCGCTCCTCAATATTGCATGTAATGCATATTCTTAATGTGTTGCCGCTTTCTGAAACTAAGTCATTTTGTCTTTTTCAGTTATAGGTCAGAAGTAAAAGCCAGACAGGATGTGAAACCTGATATCCGGCAGCCTCCATTTACAGACTACAGGCAGTCCTCAACGGACTACCGACAGCCTCCACTGGACTACAGGCACCCTCCGGTGATGGATTACCAGCAGCCACCACCTCTGGACTACAGGCAGCCGCCATTGATAGATTACAGGCAGCACTCGCCTGACACCAGGCAGTACCCTCTGTCAGAGTACAGGCAGCCCCAGGTACAAAGGGAAATACTTAGAGCACTCCTAACCAGAAAGCGTTAGGGTCTGTAGGGAGAGACCATGTAAATTGGTAAAAAAGATGACATTATAGAAGAAAAAGGCACCTGTATTGGTTTTACTCTAAGTTACTATTTCTCTGTAGAGCTAATTACTTCAAGACCATTAATATTAATGAACTATGTGATCTGTCAAATAACACTACATTTATAATTATGTGACTATAATGTTAAATAGATGCTATTTTTAAGGTACTGGAGAGTTAAAATAAAAGTTCTAAAATAAGCTGCCTTTGCATCAGCAGAGGAATTTTTTTATTCCTAGGAGCATAACACAGTCATTGAACAGTGGATGTACTTAGGTCAGACTGCATTTCTACAGCATTGTTGAAAATGAAGATTTTATCTAATCTGAATAAATAAAATAAATTCATAAATAAATGTGAATGCTGACTGATAAAATTACATTTCTGTTGGTAATAGTCTCGATGAGGAGAAACTAGCTTGTGCAACTAGTCTCTTTGACATCAGGCATGATCTTACAAAGTCAAAGAAATAAACCTTAGATGAAGAGTTATGTTACCTTGGACAAGACTCTGCTGATGACAAATATTTACTGATAGCTATGAAGGTTTGAGGATTTAGCCCAAAGTTCAGACTTGCAAAAAAATCCTCCATTCTCCTTACATAAAGGCATAAAAAAACAGAGGTCTGAAAAATATTTAATAAGAGAATGTAAACTTCTGAACACTATCTGCTGGAACCATATATAGATGGTTTCTATGTCCGTATTTTCAAAACCAGACACATAGTATCAATGAAAATATCCAAATTCTTAAATGGGATCCAGAGAACCCTCTGAAAATTTTACACATTTCAGTATCTAAATTCTGAATCCCTATCCTCATGCGGATACCCTATAAGATGCTTCTTAGCCTCTGGAGAGATGCTTAGACTACCTTTCTCACCATCTCCTGTTTAATTCTCTAACCACTGGTCTACACAACCCAGCCTTGCTCTTGTTTTTCTCCTGCTCCCATGGTGCTTGCACTCTTGGCTGCCAATGGATCAGAAGCAACAGAGCAAGTTCTCACCCAGACCCCTCTATGGGGCTGGTAGTTAGGGTCCACCAAGGAAAAACTGGAAAGATGAATCTCAGTCTCTGCAGGACACAGAAAGGGTGAAACTCAAATCTACTTTGCACCTCCTCCTCAAGGCACATGTTTTAACAGAAGAGATGAGAGTTGCTGTACTTTGTGACTCCATGCAGTCCAGCCTGCTGATCATGTTAAGTTCTGATGGGAATTTAGGAGGCATCTCTTCTACTAATTTTTAGTTATGATGATGCTTATACAGGAACTGCCTGCTACCTCACTTGCCAAATCAGCACTTCTGCAGAGACATAAACACTTACACTCAGGTGCCGTGAAAGTATTGAGGGACAACATGGAAACCATCTAGAGAGCTTTTGGCACCAGGCAACTGCTGGAAGATACCCTTTCAGGGGGGTTTAAACTGAGGCATTTACATTTTGCTAAAGTCTTTTCTCAGAAATGGCCTAAGTCTGTCAGTGCGGAAGCATACTTTGAAGGTCCCTTTGCTCGTATCAATTGCATAGATGCACTTTTGAAGAGATGTTTTTTAACGTTTTCTTGAATGTATACCCTGACATTCATATGGTTAATTGTCTTTCATTTTGTATTTGTCTATACAGGACTTTGATTATTTCACTGTTGATTTGGAGAAAGGAGCCAAAGGTTTTGGGTTTAGTATTCGAGGAGGAAGGGAGTACAAAATGGATTTGTATGTGTTGAGGTTAGCAGAAGATGGACCAGCAATAAGAAATGGAAGGATGAGGGTAAGTAAAATGCATTGTAACAATTCTTTTCAACATTTACAGATATTTTTGCTGATGGGGTCAAAGAGAAAGCATTTCTTCCATCTCTGATCAGGTTTTGAAGAACCAATGCCATATACCTCTTATAATACAAACTTGTTCTGTAGGAGTTCAAGAAATTAGTTGAAACATATAGTAAGTCTGTGTAGTTTCTTTGCAGAATAAATGTATTACTTCTTGTTGATGATAGCTTTTACTGTGTTGTACGTTTTTCTCCTTATGCTTTCACTCATGTCTAAGCAACTTAAAAATCTCTGACAAAAAGTTTCATGTTTCTTTGACAATAATATCAGCATAATTAACAGTTATGTCTCTAATCACAGGATCAAAGTGATAGCTATGTGACACTTATTGGATAACTATGAAACCTAAGACCTGGTCTGTGTTATTTTACTAATTTAATAAGTTGCCTTCATAGTGTTTGTTAAGTTTGTTTATTGATATTATTCAATCTTGTTTGCAGGGATCAGTTTTCACTGTTTGTCTGCATAGGTCTTAGTGCATTTGAGGCCTGTACTAGTAGAAATCATAATAACACTGCATCCAGATACTAAATCTAAAAGCATTCACTTAATAAATTCCATGATAAAAAAAAACATGTTCTGTGTAGGAAAAACAACCTAATCAAAAAGAGATGGTTTTAACCTGTCCAGTTGTGCTACAGAGGAGGTATAAACTCATCAAAGGTTGCTGATACCTTGCAGAATAGTGAGTACACAAAAAGGAGAAGGAGAAAACATAGATGAAAGAGACTACCAAGATTCAACATTTAAAAAATTGTTTATGTATCTAATTAGTGCAGCCTTGTTGAGCCAATATTTAACTACAAAGATGGGCAATGGAAATTGTGTTCTGTAGAGTAGTAATAGCAGATTTTTCAAATGTCATGGTTGTTACACAGATTCTATTTCACGATCCTAACAATCTCATCAAGTTTGACTTCATACTGAAAGAGCATTGTCATTGGTCTAAATATAGAATCAGAGACTTTCAGTATATAACTCAGGAGTTTTAGTATGCTTCAAATCACTCTTAACTTGCCCATTTTGTAGAATTATAGAATTCAGTTAGACACCAGCCATACCGTGGCACTGGGAGCTTGCATAAGGGAGCAATGGCATAAGCAATCCCTGTGACAAGGAAGCTGGGGGGCAAGCAGGCAGGCAACTGGTGACTGAGAAATACTGCCACAATATTTTTTGTGTGAAATAAGGGTGAATTCATGCTGCAGCTAGAACTTTAACTTAAGAATATCTTCTCTGGTGAGTGTTTTCATTCTTTCCTTTACTGTAGCACTATCATAGTCAGTTGCCTTTAATGAAAAGTCGTAAGGAAGGTATACATTAGCAGCCATGTGATTAAAGATGGGGGAAAAGCTGTGCTTTTGATAAGCTCTGGAATCACATATTTGGAAACATATGACTAAGACTACAGAACAACAGAAGAACAATGCCTTTGGAGAGGGTTCATTTCAAGTAATAACCTGTATTAGGCAGAAAACTAACCTATTAAATTCGGTGCATCATTTGAACAAACTAGTACCACAGAATAAAGTTAGACTAACCACTCTGTGAATAGCGTAAATATAAAAAGCATGTAACACAAATACACAGCTTTTTTTCAGTTTCGTTAGGAAAAGTCCTGTATCTTATAATGAAAAATGTTAATATATTTTCTAAAATAACTTATTTTAGAGCTTTTTTGTTGATGTGGCCACAACACACAGCCAAGTGTTATTCTGGCCAGATAGTTGTAACTGGGTTTTTTTCTCCCTTTTAAAGGTGTCGCTCTTTAGAATCAGTATTACACTCCAGCCTTGTCGCCAAGTCTTGTGTTGTATTCTCCTGTTTAACAGCCATTTTAACCTGACAATCACAAATGGGTTAGGAACTTGCAAGACTTTTATCTCCAGTGACCTGTAACTGATGGACACCAGAAGCTCAAGAAACAGCTTCTTCAAAACAAAAATAGAAAAACAAAACAAAAAACAGTAATTGCTGAAAGGAATAGAGTATATAGGAAGATGAGCAAAGGAAGCAGAGTTCTTTCCCCATATCTCCTTTCCTAAGTTTAGATTGGCTGTTAATAATGCAGGTTCATTCCCATTTCTTGGGTGGGACCACCAGCCTGCTTGCTGCAGTTCTGTATCTCTCTGTTTCACAGATGCATCTCTATAGCAAAATATGCAAAAATCTGTTCAGTGCTTCTTGCTTCACATACCATCATCTTTAAAGATCAGATTCTCTGATCCTAGGCTTTCAGCACTGGGGGTAGTAAACCATGCTCATGTGGTAGGATCTTATCAGGAGCATTTTTCCAGCTAATAGTTCTTCTCGTGATCTACTTATCTCCATTATTGTTTTGCTTCCTGTTTCCTCCACCTTTCGAACAGCCTTCTTTGATTTAACTGAAGCCTTACAGAAAAACATGAAGTAGATAACACAAGGTGCAGGTCATGCTTATAGAAAGAAAAAATGCATATAACTCCACCATTATTCCCATTCACCAAGCCAAGAAAAGAAAAATTAAACCAGAAAGCCGTTGAAAAAAGTAGATCATACAATGAAACGTTACCTGTAAAGCATTTAGATATAATAAGTAAATGTATTCCACAAATAACATTTTGTTGTCAGTTTAGTTATAGCCAGCAAAAGCCCCGATAAAGGCACATTCATATTGATACAAATCTCCCTACTTTACAGAAATAAATAGAAGAATACAAAGTACTTTAAAGGAATAGAGCTACATCTATACTAATGGGTTTACAAATTTGTATAATTGAAGTAATGCAATCTCTAACTGAAGACAGCTCTAGATAGGCAAGTCAAAGTCTGCATGTTGTACTCTCTTAGTGGGCACTGCAAAACCATAGTGATGGGATGAGCCCAACAGCTATATTCCACTTGGACACATGTTAAAAAATCTGAAAGTCTATCAGCACACATTCAAAAGATTCTGAGGTCTAAATACATGTAAAATGTTATGCATTACAGATGCAGAGTATAAATTTAAAGAAGAAAAGCTAAGATTACAGGAAATCATATGTAAATAAAGAAATTGTATGGAACTGTCTCTTGTAAAAGAAAATAGAGTAGACCCATTACTGAGGAAGGTAAGTATGAAAGGAATAAAATATACCAATAATAGGAGCAAAGAGAAATTGAACAAAAAGGCAATGATGAAACAACATGAAGAAAGTGACACCAAGATTGGGTCATCCTTATGACACTTTCAGTTTGATCATCAGGCTTTTATGAACTCCGGTGAAGCTTGGGAGCAGATGAGAGAACAGACTCATAGAGTAAGCACTAGAAATTACAGTCTTCCACTGGCCCTGCCAGAACTGTCTGGATATGAAAAGACTGATGGAAAGAGGAAAAAGGTTTGATGACATTTGTTATCACATCACCATTTCCAATCAGAAATCCTGGTCTTCCTTCCCACTGGGAATGGCATACTAGGCACTTACTTTGTGTTTTTATTCAAAACAAATCCACTGAGCAACACTCCATTTTAGGATTAAGAGATCTAAAATAGTCTTTAATTGCCCTTCATGACTGATGGAGCTTTCTACTTTGATTTTCTGTGGAATTGTTCTGGGAACCAGAAAGGTTGAAGACTGTTGAGTTGATGTGGTACAGAGTTCATCAGTCTCACCAGCATACTGCTCTTCTCCTCAAGGATCCCTTTCTGCCAGCCTATATAGACACTGTGTCATGTCTTAAGGTTTGACAAATTATTCCCTTAAAAACAGTTTTAAAACTTTCACAGGCTTATTACACCGTTCTTAGTTGTAGCACTTTTACATGCACTGAGACTTTTATTTGGGCTCATAGACTTTGCTTCTGCAGAAAGCCCAAGCATACATCCTAGTTTAACTTGGATTTATCTGTCACTAGACATGGGAAGGAAATGTCCATCAAAGGACCCAGAAGTCTGCAGGAAGAAGTGTTTCTTCATATGCATCCTCTGCCTGCATAGTTGGTAAACTATTCTCAGCCAGTGTTGGAGACCCACAGCCATAATTGTGTAACTTCATATAAAACCATATGTCAGGTAATATACCACAATTAACTTTGGCAGGATTTCACTGCAATTCATAGATAAGTTATACAGAGATTCCTTGCAGAAGACCTCTGTAGGGAGGAACCTCATCACTACACTGGAAGTAAATACAGATCCCTCTTAATTCTGACAGCTGAGCAGAGAGCAAGCTACAATGGTGAATTCTGAAAAGCCTACCACAACAAAGGTTTACAGAACTTGAAACATGTGACTCAAAATACTTCCAATAAACTACGTGAATTTTCACAAAGAGCAAGGTATCTTACAAATTAGGAGTAATGAAGAAAAGTTTCATTGGATCTAAGGAGAAGATTACAAAAGAAAATATGACTATCCAAAAATTTAAATGGTAGATAGACTCACTGAGAGCTCCAAGTTGTAAAAATTTGTCTCCACCCTCCTTCGGGATGAGGGAGTACCAGAAATATAAGACTCTGCCCACACCATGGCAAAAAAGGACTGAATAGGACCATGTCTGTGCTCTGTAAGACAAGGATGTATTAAAAGAACCATGAGAAAAGTTTGGAGACTTATTAGTGCCTTTGATATCTTATCCTGAAGTGGCAGAGGTCTGAGCACATCAAGACTCCATTTCTCAAGCAATCCTAACATCAGGGAAAAAAATTTGCAACTGGTTCATGATGGCAATATTGAAGAATAAAGCTGCAAGGCGTAGTCTCAGACTAGGGCAAGAATATGGTGCACACACTATCATCAGAGACAGTAGTATTGAGTTGAATCAGTCACCAGAGATGAGGGACGTAACACAGCCAATGTGAAGCACAGTCCCCACAGCCTTTGAAGATTCAAACACTACTGGCAACAATTTTACATGTCTATTTAGATAAGGCTCACGATAACTCATCTTTTATTCCTGTCTCACATTGAGGACAATG